CACAAAGTGTAAGTATGGTAATCTTGTAGGAGGAAGACATAGGTGACTACCGGATAAGTTGACCTCCATGTAATCTGTTGGTGCTGAATGGAAATATATTTTTTATTATTATTTTTGTGTAAAAAATATGTCAACTGAAGGGTGCTGAATCTTGGGTGTTGTGTTATGGATTCTGGTGGATGTTCAGTGGAATTTCAGAAGAACGTATTTGCTCGATTATTAACGTCAGAGAATAATAGAAGTAAGCAACCAGAAGGAAATACAGACTGGTTTCTTGCTTGCCTTATTTTTTGACCTAAATGATGGAGGCAGAACGTTTCTTTGAAACATCAGAAAATTTGTGCATATTACATAGCGACATCCCAGGAGACAGTACTCTTTATGGTTCCTGCCATGAAAACCTCAGACTGAACATTTGAGCTTTCATGTTCGTGGTCCATTGATTGGTATCGCAACTTCCAACATGGCGATGTTTCTGCTTGTCTGCAGGGCTTCAATGCAATGTTTGCCAGTCACCATGGTTCTTCCAGCAGCAATAGTCTGTCTATTTGTGCACAAAGTCACACCACCAGCTTTACCACTACAACAACTACAATGGATGTGGAGCCCACCCATGTCACTCAGGCCAATGAAAATCCAAATACTATTACTACAGTTAGCCAACATGTTATTAACCTTAGTAGCGTAGAGGCAGTGAGTGGTTCATTTGTCGCTGACTGCGTTCCACGGGACAATCTCCCATCTCTAGACAATGGACAAAGTGAGATGAAAGCTGAACGAGTGGGGGAGGAAGTGAAATTTACTACTGGTGCTCTTTCTGATCAGGATAATGATCTTATTAATGTTAAGAATTTCCAAAAAACTGTCAGTTCCGGGGAAACTGTCGAGTCCCGGCAACTGGAGAATCGAGATGCCAACGACGACAGCAGCAAAGTATGGAGTGTGACTCCATTTCTCAACATTCCTAAGTCGCAAGGTGAAGGGATGACAGCAGGTAATGACAAACCTTCCCTTGCGTCTGCCATGAATGCAACAGTCCAGGGTAAAATTGACAGTAACCCACCACCAAGCTTTAATAATCTTTATACTAGCAATAATGTTAAGAATTGTGAATGTTATGCTTCGAAGCTCCTGCTTCACTGTGCAACTCATCAGTACAAGTACTGTAATGCTACAAATGAAGGGCCCGCAACGAATGCCCGGTGGGGAATTCCTCCTGGGCTCGGGCTCCGTGGCGGCGGAGAGAGCTCACTGAACAGTGGTACTTCAAGTTGGGGGACTTCCTCTGGAGGCAACTCGAACAATAACAACAACTCAGGCTCTTCAGCTGGAGGCTGGGGAGGGAACAACCAAGGACAAGGCAACACTGCAGCCGCACAGAACCAGTGGGGAAACAATAACAACAGTGTAAGCAGGAACACAGGGAGTGGAGGTTCTAGTCAGGGGCCCAGCGGACAGCAAAACCCAGGTGAGGATGTGAATTCATGGATAGAACCAAGTTCCACTGATTCTTACCTCCTGGTTATCCCACTGTTAACACTTTGGTACTGATCACATGTTAAGAACAGAATATTCTTTAAAAAAGTAGTTGTGACTCAAAAGTAATACCTGAATTCCTGAATTGTTCATAGGATATAGTGTAATAGGTGTTCATGAAGCAATAATTTGCATATAATTGTATGTATGTACTCAACAGTTTCATATTGTTCTAATCAATATTCTGACTTGACTTCCGGAGGCACCTAGTTTGAACCTCATCTAGATGGCTGTCCCGGTGAGGTTTCGTGTGATTTTTCTCAGTCCCTTCATATATATGCTGGGATAATTATCTTAAATTAGACCACCTCTTCTTCCATCTGCGTGCTTTCCATTTGACACTCTAGTTTGAGGTACTGGCAGTCCATATTAAAAATTAACTGTAGTAAACCCTTCCTAATTCAGATTGATTGGGGAGGTGGCCATCGGGATTAACCAATAATCTGGATTGATGAAGTGAATGATAACCTTGAAAGACAGAAAAAATTTAGAAAACGAATAAATAGATAGTTAAAAAGATGTAAAGTTTTCCCTGCGCTTGACTGATTAAGCACTATACCATGAAGGTGTATGAGTATAGGGGAATGAATGTGTAGATCCACATTTTCTTGACCTCAGCACTAACTGAAAGTGAATGGTCAGCTTCACGCCCCGGCCGCTTTAACCCCGGGGAAGGAGCCCACAGTACCAATGGGATAGGTTGTGTGGACCCCAGAGCTGGTCTGGACGACATGGAGAAGAAAAATTCTTGGGCTTACTGGGACTTGAGCTTCGACCCCTTGGTTGTCTGGCCCATAGCCAGTAGCTATACTGACTATGCTATACCAGCTCCTAATACAGGTAGTGCTGATGAAAACAAATAAAAAATATCACTGCAGCAATTTCTTCGTCTGTCAGAAACTGAAATCCAGGGTCACCTTCATCCAACTTAAGCCAGTGTTCGTTTTTTCTTTGGTGGTTTTGGTCTCTAAAGCTGTCCTCAACACGGTCAGAAAGTTCTCTTGCTCCCAAATCCCACATGTCTTTTTAAAGTATGTACTCAACTGTGAACAGAATTTTTCATATTTCATTCTAGATTAACTGTATCGGGATTAATGAGGGTTTGGTATATGATATTGCTATTCCTCAAGCCAGCACAGTGTATAAAAACTGGTTGTGTTTTGTTACTAGCACTCTCTTGGTGAAACTGTTACTACTGTTGACTCAACACTTGTCATGAATTTGGTTTGTACCCATGCTGTAATCCTGTTTAACATGTATACCATAAATCTAAGTCTTCATTTCAGTTTTGATACTTCTGCCCTAGCAGGAAATATTTCAAGGAATCCAGAATATCTGCAGAGATACATATGGTGAAGCAAATGATGTCCATTACCAGCAAAAATATTATGAAAATTTCAGTAGCCATGCCATGATGCATATTTGTGCTTCCTGCTCTTGGTATGATATGTGAACCACTGCATTCAAATGTGTTTCTGGTCTTCAGTTTTAGCAACAGGTTTTACCTAGAAGTCACTGAGTTTGTGTTATGGTAAAACCCTTTCTTTGGGTAGCAGTGGGTTTGAACACTAAACTAAGGAAAATTTTGTATGGGGGAAATTTATCATTAAGATTACTGATTTGGGATCATTGATATTGGATGTAAATGAGAGAAAACCTTAAGTCAGGACTGTTAAATGGGGGTTCCACTTCATATATCAAATGTACAATGAATAAGGGGCATGTGATGGCATAGTTGGTTGAAGCGCTATGCTACAAGCTGAAAGGTTATGGGATCGAATCCTAAAGAAGTCTTTGGATTTTTCAGTTGACCTAATCTTTTCAGCCGCACTATGGCCTGGGGTTGACACAGCTTCTAACAGAAGTGAGTATGAGGAAATTTTCTGGGTGGTAAAATGGGCGGCCAGTGTGTAAAGCTGGCAACCTTACTGCCATCTATGAGCCTACTGTGTAGAAGATGTAGGGGCCTCAGCCTCTCATACTCCTATGGGCCCTCATGGCCTGTTAACGGGGACAGCTTGACCTTTACCTCTTTACAATGAATAATCTATTATTTGTCTGTTTATTGAACAATTCACCAAAATCATAGTTCTCAGAGCACATTTCAAAACTTGAAAACTTCCAAACATTAGTACTTTAAGAAATGTTGGTTATATTTTATAAGTACATAAACATTGAATGAGGATGTCGGCTGAGGCAGTAATGCTTGACTTGTGTTTGAGAATTTCACCAGGGACAGCAGCTTTTGTAGGTGAGTTTTCAGATCAGTGACAAAAATGATTTGGAACTTTGCAGATGACCCAGATTTGTAAAATATCCGAGGGAATGAACAACATGTTATAAAGAAAATTAATAAGGTGCAGGTTTGGGAGTTTGTTACTGTTGGGAGCAGTGGTCACAGTTCCATAATGCACTGCAAATAGGCTCATTAAAGAGAAGTGCTCTGGGAGGAAGTAGTAACCCAGCCTCCTATCCAGTGGGTACCAGGTGCTCTTTCCCTGGATGTAAAACAGCAGGGGTGTGAAGGTGACCAACTTTGAACTAGTGATGAGGTGAAGAAAATGTGGATCTATACATCCACTCCCCCATACACCTTAATGGCATAGTGCTTGCTTAGTTAAGCACAGGGATGTCTTTGCCTTTTATGTTTATCTGCTATACAAAGTTACACTTTTGTAGGATATGATTGCATAGTCAGGTAGAATGTTACCCATTGTTTTTGGAGGAATCTGTTGCTTCGATCTTCTACGTGACGTGGAACCAACTGGTTTGTCCGGACTTTGGTAATTTTTGCTGTTGTGTAACATTCCAGAGCAGTATGATGATTCAATTAAGAATAAGATAGGAAGGACATGTAGCAAACACGAGAAAACTTAGCAGTGCAGACAAGTTCAGTTATAAGACCTGGAGGTAGAGACAGCACGTGGGTGACCTAGATGTACATGGAACTTGAACTGGTATGCTGGTGCGAACTGAATTTAGCTGCATTAGGATAGAGCCCAGGGGTTCGCATTTGTGAACATTGGGATGAACCTTTCACACTGTGCATTGGTGCTGTTGTGGATATGTCTGCTGCCATTGCTCTGAAACCATTTTCTATTCTTGTTAAACTTTGCACACACACACTTTCAGTTAGTTACTCACTGATCCTGTAATTTACACTGTAGTAGGGCACTATATAATCCAGAGTGTTTGAAGTATCCTTAAATAGATGATGATAATAAACTCTAAGAGAAGTGCTGAATGTATGTGATTGTATTACACAGGTAATAGGGAGATATTTCAGCCTTTTACACACGTGTGAGCCAGTTAGGTCAGCAGACTTACTTGGGTTAGAACTGCCACAGCTGATAAGATGAGCTTGATATTAATCACGTAGTACAGCAGTTCTGTCACTAGATGGCATCAGAGGTGATTTACTGATGTTTAGAAGAAAAAACAGTCTTTCATGCTGTGTGTCATTGTGGTTGTTTGAATGTAATTTGAGGATCTGGTTATTCCATGCAACTGTACTTGTCCTGAAGCAGCTTTGATGTTTTTAGCAGATAGGTCTGTGGTGGGGCTTTTGAGTTAAGGATTAAGGCAAGTAGTGGTAATTATTTCTTACTGAATATGATAGCCTTGCCCTGTCGTTCTAGGAAAGCAAGCATTGTAATTTATGTTAGTATCATTAGTCTCCAGGCACTTTGTTTTATATTTTTATGTGTATTCAGTTGGGATCAGAATGATTGTATAGACTGAGCTGTGTTTATGGGCAAGTGTCGTCTAGATGTAGTTGCAGTGCAGTTTCCCTTCACTGTTTTCTCCAGTGAGGCTCTGGCCTTGAGTTTCACCTGTTGTTTGTTCTGAGGGTTCTGAGGCTCTGTTGCTAGGAGTAAAATGGCTTTGGGTTTTACCAGGTCTGTCCCTGTGGGTGCTGAGGTTTTATCCAGGAGTAAAGTGGCTTTGGGTTTCACCTATTCAGTAAAGTGGAAGGAGGACGTAGGTGCAGGTTCAAGAAAGCCTGAAAGTCTTTCCAACGGTGCATCATTTAAGCATTTGTTTAAATTCTTATCCTTAGGTCTTTGCAGCCTGTATGTAAGGTGTAATTTGGCTTTTGGGAATCAGCCTCATTTTGGTATTTGGACATTCTGGAATGCACTGCAGTTGCTGTCTTCAGCATGAGTCAGGTGGAAGCAGATGTGGCCCAGTAACAGAGGAAGGAATGGTTGGGTGCAGAGCATGGTGCTGTCTGCTGGACCCCGTGTCCGTTGGATGACATGATGCTTTACACCCCTGCCCTTACTCACATGTCAGACTGAGGCCAATTCCTAGTGGATAGCAACATGCTTAGTTTTGTTGCAAGACCTGTAGATTGGGGCTCATCTTCCTCCCATCTCGACTCCTTGAATGTGCTGTCTGGAGTGTATGCCAAACATTGAACAGCTTAAGTATATAATAAATCTTAGCCCTCAAAACTTCAGGTGTGTTTAGATGTTCTTTAATCAGTGATAAGTGTTTTAAAGAAATGTATTTTCTTAAAAATCTGTTTGCCTTTGTTTCTCAAGCTGTGACTGTCTCCCTAATTAAGGGCAACTTTCAGCCCAGTAACTGGATCGAAGCAAGGAAAGGCTCAAAATATTACCCAAGGTGGCAGAAGTCTATCTTTAAAATTTTGTGGGATGGAAAGCAGAGACAAAAGTTAGCAGCTAGAACTTAAAAAACTTGGGAACTTGCCATGTAAGATTCTGTCATGCCCAAAATCTTTTGTGTACATTCTGTAAAGCAGTGATTCTCAGCTTTTTATAATGTATCCCTTTTAAAAATGATTGTAAAGTATTTGAAGTACCTGAAATTTTCAAACAATTTTTTTTCCTGCCATTGCTGCATTTGTGTAAACAATTTGATTGTAATTGTTTGGAAGGAATAGTCTGTAGGCAATGCTTATGAGTGTGCACAGTGTGAACAAAAGCAAAAAATTCAAGACATTTCAGTTGTGTTCATTTAACCAACCCTACAGACTTCTCTCATGGACCACTGGTTGAGAGAAACAGAACTTCTGAAAATTGCCTTAAGATGCAGCAGTTCTTAACCCTTACACTGTTGTGGTCGACATATGTCGATCTCTGAAAAACATGGCGTCCTTGCTGCGATCGACAAAACCCGTATTGCAACTTTAGAGTTTCAGGTTTCTTTTTACCAATCTCATTCAAACTTGGCGGGTGCATAGAGTCATCTATTGGGAATGTAATGAAGCATCATTCAGTTCAATGGCTGCATTCTTCTGCCCTCTAGCTTAAGAAATATAAAAGGTTGCATCTGCACAGCGAGGCACACGCTCCGTGGTCATGTGACACAGGTATTTCACAGGTGTAGTAAAAATGGCTTCATATAGTGCGTGGTGCTCTCTATAATACTTTTAAATAAAGGTGTGGACTTTGGTCAAGATGTGACATAGTGATAAGACTAGGATAGTGAATTATGTACTTTTTTGACCATCTTGGACAACCCTGATTTAAATTGACTTTTCCCCTGTGAAAAATACTGAATAATTCAACATTTTTGCAACTTCTGATGCCTGTTCCCTGTCTGAGGTAAGATTAGTTAACATTTGATCACAAAGTTTCATACTTTGCACTTAAATTATTAAAAAAAGATTTACTTAAAAAATAATTCAGCACAGTGGGTACTGAGAGTTACTTAACATACTAGCAGTGAAAGGGTTAAGAAGACATTACATGTTAATGTGATTAAACAGTGTATGGGAAGGCAGAAGATGTAGGTGTTTGAGCATTAATTTTATTTTGCAATGAAGTGTTTTTTTTGGGGGGGGGGATTATTTAATGTTGCTGTCAGCGTGTAGACTATGCAGCATCAGATGAATATTGAATTTGGAAAGGATGCGGACTGAAGCAATAATGGCAAAATTTAAGGCACTGTCCTGTCATACCTGTAGGGACTGAGTAAAATCATGAAAATTCTCAGTCAGACTAGCGTGAATGCTGTACAAGATTTGAAACTGACACCACCTGAATACAAATCTTAAGCGTTATATCATAACATGAGCTATAAGGCATAAAGATTTTTATTGTGAGATATTTATTATGACTGACAGGCAGTACGAATAAAGGCAGCAACGCACAGTCTGGTCAGCCTCCATCTCAGCAGCCCCCACCATCTCAGGCTACATCCTCGCAGCAACAACAGCAGCAGCAGAATGGCTCAACATCTTGGGCACAGGCAGCTGGCAAGGGACTACCAGCCAATCAACAGCCCAGTACTGCGGGAGCCAACAGCAGCAGCAGCAGCAGCAATAATAACAACAATCCAGGAACTGGAAATAGTGGCAGTTCTGTAGCTGGGGCCTCTGGAGCAAACAGCAGTACTGGGAACAGCTCAACCAAGCAGCAGTTGGAGCAGTTGAACACAATGAGAGAAGCACTTTTTAGTCAAGATGGATGGGGGGGTGTAAGTATATCAGCTGTCAACGAGCCTGTAGCATTCTGTCTGTTGATATTCTTTCATTTCATGAATGAGTTCATGCCATTCAGTTTTGTTGCCTGGAATTCTATCTGTATATTAATCTAGAATTCCTCTTTAATACTGTCTTTAACTTGGAATGTAGCTGTCATGAGATGTTTGAAAATCAATTTCATTAACCTGAATCCATCTTGTTTATTGGCAGTCTTATGTTTCTCCTCTTCCTGGACGTTGCCCATCATCAGAGTTCATTAAAACCTCCATGCTTTGGAAATTTGTTCTGTGTCCATCATTAGGTGAACAGGATTTGAGAGGAAACCTACTCTATAGTGCCCCTTGGTAGAGAATAGTCTCATTGTTGGAGAGTATTTCCAGAGCATAGTGATTTTAATAGTCTTGACATGGATGAAGTCCGTGAAGTAGCTTTCTATGCTTGCAGGAGCACTGCATATCTAGGGCCACTTGAGGCTGGCTTTATGCCACGGATAAACAGAAAGGAAGCTCCCAGGCTCAGTTGCGTCATATTTGCTGTCAATTTGTGTTTGCTTTTCTTTTTAGCAATATGTGAATCAGGATACTGGGTGGGACATTCCAGCCTCTCCGGAACCTGGTGTGAAAGACGGTGTTCCAGTCTGGAAGCCAAATGTGAACAATGGTAAGCAGTTGCATTGCGTCGTACATCATACTGAACTGTGTCATCAGGATTTCAAATTTCTCAACACAGTGGAATTGGCAGCCTTATTTATTCTTTTTTTTTTTTTTTTTGTGGTTANATGCAGGATGAGGGGATAATATATCTGCTGTCTCTCCGAGTTTGTGGTGGGCTTAGCTTTTGGGGGAGTGAATTGGAATTTCAGTCATTTCAACTCTGTGCATGTGTTGTCACAATAATGTGATGTGTGGTTGCTATTTCAAATTAACATATTATGAATTCATGGCCATTGTCCTGCAGACACAGGGGAAACATGTCTTCTGGATCATAACACCATGTAGTATGTTGAAAGTCAGCCGAAATTTCTGAGGAACATACCGTCTATATTCAGCCAAGCAAGAAACGAGTAGGTTGAAGTCAGGGGGCAAGCTGGTTTCTTGCTTGCCTTATTCTTCAACCTGAAGTTGGAATCAGTATGTTTCTCTGAAACATCTCTTGACTTCCACTGGGCTACATGATGTTATGATCCAGAAGATAGAACTCTTCATAACCACCACTGTGAGAACCTCAAATTGTGTGTAAAGGAAACATTTTTAAGCTTTGTGCATTTTGTTGTTTCATAAGATTTCATTGTTAGGTAGGAAATGTTTAGAATTCATGTGATATTTTTGCATTATGACACAATTGTGGAATATATTCAGAAGAATCATTGAATTGTTAAGTCTTGTGCATGTCCAACTTAATTATGAATTATAAGCGTGTCAACTTCAGTCATAACTTTCTTTTTCGTATTGTAGAATGCTCTCTGCTGAGCTTGTTGGTTCTGGAGACATGCTGTAGTCTTAAAATTGAGAGGTATTTGATTTGAATTTTGGTTAAGACACCAGTTGTTGGGAGGAGTCCCCCCCCCCTCATATCACGAAGGGAGTTTTTTTTTTGGGGGGGGGTTCCTTGGTCCATCAAATCAAATTCTTGGATACCTCATTTAAATAACGACCACTTCCAAGAATATGCTCTCCAGTTCATCATATGTACATCCTGCCATTCAGCACTGTATATAGTACTTCTTTTGGCTTATTTTGGACTTCACCCATTGTCTGGTATGTAAAAGACAAAAGACCACGACGTTTCGGAGACTGGATCTGTCTCCGTCTTCAGGTGGATAGGGAAGGATAAACCCACTCAGTTGGGCCTATTAGAAAGAGCTAGTCTCAATCACTGGACCTGAAGACGGAGACAGATCCATTCTCCGAAACGTCATGGTCTTTTGTCTTTTACATACCAGACAGTGGATGAAGTCCAAAACAAGCCAAAAGAAGTACAGTATACACCATCGTCAGAATCCTTTCGAGTCTAACTGTATATAGTCTTAAGACTTTCAGTGAAAATTGTTTTGCGGTTCTGATTTGCAGTCGTATTAGTTCATAAAACAGTTCGCCTTAAATGGATAAGCGTGGTTCGTGTGAGATGAATGAACTGCTGTTGGGAGTTTTGTATACAGTATTTTGGAGTACCTTGTTTTCATTTTAGTTGTGTGTAGAAAATGTGGTTTACTGTGAGGTGAATTCTGTTCTCAGGTACCACCACATGGTTGTGGTTGGTGGTGTTGATGATCTGGAGGTACGTGCTGTCTCCTTTGACCCTGGAAATGGAAGCAGCATGTTCCTCCAAAGCATTCACACTGTTGCCCACAACCACACAATGTAACAACCCGAGAACAGAATTAACGTCAGTAATTAACCACCATGAAAGCCTAAAATCAGTAATGATTTGCTTCATCTAAAAGTCTTTTATTATTTTAATTGTAGGTACAGATTTATGGGAAGCAAATCTCCGTAATGGTGGGCAGCCACCTGCATCACAGACTCAAAAAACGCCATGGGGACATACCCCTACATCTAACATCGGTGGTACATGGGGTGAGGATGACGACGTTGGGGATAGCTCAAATGTGTGGACAGGTGTTCCATCCAGTGCTGGACCAGGGGGAGCGACGGGCCAGTGGGGAGCGAACAGCGCGGGGCCTAGTGGTGGTATGTGGGGAGGTGCGTCTTGTAGGGCTCTGATGGTGGAGTTATTTTTATTATTTTTGTGAACTCTGATTCGTGGTTGGCTTCTATGCTCAGTTATTTGTGGTTGTTGTGTTTGTTCCTGGGGGCCTGTTTAAGTCTGTTGACATCTGTGATATCTAATTCTGGCAACTTCGGGCATTGTGTGTCCCTGTGGTCAGTGGCATACTGTCATGTGGTGCCTCCATTGGTGTTCCTACAAACTCAGTGTATCTGACTAGGGTAGGATGTTAAATTACGTAAAAAATACAAAGTGATAATTGAAAGTAGACCTTTTTTTTTGTGTGTGTTACATGTTGGATGTGAGATTCTTAGATCATTGGTTGTAGGGGGTTCTGTATTCTGGGAAGTGATGCTGAGAAGACTAGTTGGAGGTCACTGATAATTTGGAGGAACATATTGCCGCTGTCTTGTGGGTCACAGCACCAGCAGGCTGAGGGCTTCTTGTTTAGTCTGTCTTCTACCTTGAAGATGAAGTCAGTATTTGAATCCAACATATTTGTAAGCTTCTGCTGGACTAAACAGCTTGTATCCTAGAAAGTTGTACATAAGACATTTACTTGCTATGTGTAATAAGTCTACGCAGAGCAGTGTGTGTTGTCACGTCATTTACGTGGAAAACGGTGGTGGGATTGGGAGGTAGTAGCAGTATAAGCCGTGTTTTAATTACAATGTCAACATTTGTCAGAAGAAGGTACCTGTAGGCTGCTGCTGTTATTCTTATTCTATCAGTTTGTCTTTCCATACCTTTCATATTTGGTGAAATTGTGATTCTGAAGTTTCCATCAAGGGCTATATGTGAAAAAGTGGAACATTGGAAGTGTCCGTATACTGGTGATCTCATTGTACACAAGAATATTCTATAGGCTTGCCTACTCGAAGTATGATAAACCTCAAAGCTGGCTTAAGACAGATTTTATTAAAGAAGATGAGATGGACGGAGCATGTAACTTAGGAGTGAGCAGAAGTACACAAAAGAAATCCTGGAAAACTTGAGCATGGGAGGGCACATTGTACTCGTACCAGAGAGTGTACTCTCAAAGTGCTTGTTGTAGATCCTAGGGTCTTTATCTACTTGTAGAACACAACAACCACAGATAACGATTACAGTTGCAGGCTAATCAGAAGCGGATATTAAGGGTTTGTTCATTGTTCTTAATGACATTTTGTTGAATTGCAAGATTTTGCTGGTGGGGAAAACAGTCTGTAGCATAACTCTTTGCAAAGTGAATATTATTTGTGTGGATATATTTTCCTCATTTTTTTCCTCTTCGTGTGTATTTGTTTTAATATGGCTTGAAATAAATGCCATACAAATATGGACAGTTTGAGAATTTGAGAAAATGAACCAAAATGAAAATTTTGCCTGAAATGTGGATCCTAGCAGAAAGACGTTTCTGAGGTACGCTATGGCCTGGGGTCAGCTCAGCCCAGCCTCTAACAGAAATGAATACCAGGAATCTTCCTGGGTGTAAAGGACAACTGGCGAGCATGTATGGCTGACAGCCTCACAGCCATCTGTGAGCCAGTTGTCTAGAAAGTGTGGGAGCCCTGACATCTCACAACCCTGTAGGCTTCCAGGGCCTGTTGGGTAGCTTTTTTTTTTATCCTAACATGAAGACTGTGCTTAAGACTATTCTTTTGCACTTTTTCTGCCATTGCTGTTTTTTTTTAAATGCATTGCACTTTGAATGTGGTTCCCATCGTCAAGTGAGCCAAACCCGCTTCTGTTAGGTTCCTTGTGGAACTGCTCTCAAAGTGTAAACATTCTGGTGTGAATGTTTTTAAGAGCTTGGATGGTAGAGAAAGTGCAGCAGGGTAGTCACACTTTCGCCAAGAAATTTTGAACTGTGAGGAAGAAAGCTTGTTGTGAAAAATTCATTGTTATTGTAGCCTAAATTATGTAACTTCACCTCATTTCTTTTTTGCAATATTTGCCAAGAGTTACTTTAAAAAGTTCAGATGAAGACTCCTTCCATCACTGCATTTGACGACCTCTTTTTTTCACAGGGTATCTATCATATGTGGTCCTTCATGGTAGAATACTTTTTTTTTGCCAGAACAAAATTTACTTGCTGGAATGTAAACTATGTTAATTGCATTGTGCTCCAGTTTTACAATTAGGTGCTGACATCTGGTTCCTGGGATGGTATGGAAACCATTGTTTTTTCATGTATTTTTTGGTATTGTGTGGGACCATGGTGAGCAGACACACTTATCTGTTGGTGCAGAAAGAAAGCTGAATTGTGGAAATATCTTCGTATTCATCAGTATTCCTACTTTTTTTTTTTCTCCATATCTCCACAGAAGGGAAAATGACAAATTTGAATAGCAGAAGATATCTTGTATAGACATGTGATATTAGCATTCCTATGCAGAAAAATCTCCACTCTAGTTTCAGAATCTAGTCTTGTTTTTGTGGTGGTACATAACATGTATGGTGTCCACATATACTTGAAGTTCCCTGTGACCTTCAGAACACAGTTCTTGTGGTTTGGGTCACATACAGAAAGCTTTATTTCTGTGCTAAAATGGTATGTGTTCGCAATGTCATAGATTGTAATCTGCTATTTAGAACTACCAGATCACAGCCTAAGTCATCTTGAAGCAAACATGAAAATACATCACTCCATAATCTACTTCATAGACACATTTCATTAGTATTGCTATTATAAAATATCTGAAGGATAATAATTATAAAACCTTCAGCTTCAAGTCTTAGTAGATGTACCAACTGTCAGCATGGTAACATGCTTTGCTTATGGATGAGAATATGGGGAAAGAAACACTTTGGCTCAGGCTTTTGTGTGTAGCAGCGAAATCAATTTTTCTGGGAATTGTTTCTTCAACTGGAACATCTTTTGTCTTTGCCATATTTTTCCATGATATGCCATTTGGGAGAAACAAGGCAGGATGCATGGACAGATGGACATTTGGCCGTTATATTGTCACAATTTAGGGGTGACTATAGATGGTGTTTTGGATTGGATCGTGAATTTATTGACCGTGTTAACACACGACTCATAATTACACTTTACAGATCACTGACACAAACTAGTGTCCTCAGACTATTACAATCTTCACTAGCTGTTTCCTGGCAATGGATTTTAATATTGGTACTGTTAACAGTCTTATTGAATCGCACACTCCAGATACCACACATAAAGTTTCTCACAGTTGCTCTCTTGCAACTGATTCTTTTCTTCAGAGACTTCTGTACGGAACTCTTGTCCACTAATTGAGCTGCCCCAGTTTTCTTCAAGATAACCCCTCGGCATGAGCCACTCAGACAGCACAACCCCTCTATTATTGTAGAGGTGTGTTTACTGCACCAATGTATAGTAGACCACAGGAAATGCTGTTCTGAAGTTGCAGGCATTACATAGCTGTTTTACAGAGTCACCGCTTAGTAACCGGTCTATACACTATAGTATGTGCGGATAAGTAGCTTTAGTGCAAGGTCTTGTATGTTACAGGATAGTAAGTAGGCCAGTGTGGCACAGTTTGTACAGCAGTATTTTCTGTGTTGCAGTAGTTCATTACATAGCCATGTTTGCTGTAATCTTTACTGATATTTGGAGCAGGTATTTTTCCACCCTCTATAACCACTTATGCTCTTAAGAATAGTACACAGTGCTATTGCTCACTCATTGCAGTCACAGCATCATTTGGCCTCTTGTCACCAAGCTAGGAGTTCATTGACTGACTGAACACAGAAGAATCCACTGACTGATTCATGGACTTTATGGCCACTGTGCGGACACTTCCACTCTTTGGGAGTGTTTGCAGGAGTCCTTGCATAACCTTAGCCATTGGTGTCGGCTGAGTAGTCTCCAGAATGCAGCAAAAGGCACAAAGAGTATGGTCTTCATATTTCAGTGAGATCAGTGGCGCAAGCCTCACATTCCCCTCTCTCCCTCAGCAATCAGCTTCCGTGCTACTGTGTGAACTCAACCAATACAATATGAGTATACTTGCCTTTTAACTGAAAAGTACTATCTTCTTGTATGCTACATGTCCTGTCTATCTCATCCTCCAAGACTTCATCATTCTAATTATACTTGGTGAAAAGTATAAGTTACGAAGCTCCTCATGCAGTTTTCTCCAGGCTTGTGTCACCTTATCCCTCTTCTGTCCAGATATTCTCAAAAACCCTCAGTCTGTGTTGCTTCCTTAAAGTCAGAGAACAAGTATCACACACATACAGATTCACAGGCAAAACTATAGTTCTGTATATTCTGATTTTTATGTTTTTATACAGCATATGAGAAGGCGAAATGTTCTGGACGAATGTTATGAAACATTACCCGAATTCAGTCTCCTCTTAATTTCATCCTGATTCAAGTTTTGATTTGTTACTGTTATTCCCCCAAAAATTGAACTGTGCCACATTTTCAGACTGTTGGAGGGTGCGTTCCTGCAGTTTGTTCGATTGGAGTCACTTGGGATCTTGTTTTCTTATGACACTTGTTGATATGTGTATTCTTCTGTTGCATTGGTAGCTGGAAAGAAAGACAATGATTGGAGTGCTGGTGGTGGTGGTGGTGGTGGCGGTGGCGGCGGTGGTGGTGGCGGCAGCGGAGGTGGAGCAGGTGGAGCAGGGTCGAATTGGGGTGATCCCCGTGATCCACGCAGTGATCCTCGCGGAATGGACCCACGTGATCCTAGAGATCCTCGCAATGTTGGAGCAATTGATCCTCGTGATCTGCGAGGAGATCCACGTGATGCTAGAAGTGGTATGATGGATCCACGAGATCATATGCGCGGTGTGCTAGATCCAATGCGTGGAGATGTTGGTATGCGTGATCCACGAGACATTCGAGGGATTGGAGACATACGCGGAGGGGATCCAATGCTACGAGGAGACCCACGGGGTATCAGTGGCCGCCTGAATGGCGGGAGTGATGCAGGAATGTGGGGCCAGCCACCCCAGCCTCCACATCATCATGGACCACACCACCAACAGAGCCAACCCCCTGGCAAGATGGTTGGGCCTGGTGGAGTTTCTGGCAGTGGTGAGTACATTTGTAAGGTGTACAAGGAAAGGCAGATGGACACGAAATTGAGGGATTCACCAAATAGGGGTTGTGCAAAATTACACAAAACTGTTCCATCTCCCCTCAAGAAACAGTGAATCTAGTTAAAATAAATTTCTTTATTTAAGTAGTTTAGAAACCACTTTTGCACAAATAAAGACAGTTACATAATCAAAATTCACCAAGTATGGAAGAGCAGTGTTTGGCTGTGGCTGGGGAAGAGAAAATATTTACCAAACTGGGATTTCACTGTGACATGCATAGTACAGTACACATAAAACTAAAAATATGTTTCTGTGCTTAACTAATTAATCACTATGTCATGAAGATGTATTGGGGAATGGATGTATAAATCCATGTATTCCTGACCTTGGTATTAGTTGGTGGCATGCAGTCTACTTCATGCCTGGGCTGCTTTTCTCCTGGGAAACAGTCCCTGGTCCCCATTGGATAGGAGGCTGGGTGGGACTTTGAGAGGAGAAAAGTCTTTCCACCCACTTTGACTTGAACTCCAACTCCTTGGCCATCCAGCCTGTAGCCTGTCACCATACCGACTATGCTGCCCTGTGTTTTACCGTAAGCATGAATTTTTTTGTGTTGTTGGGTGACATATTGCTTATTTTGTGCAGGTGTGAACCAGTGGGTAGGTCCACCACCAAAAGATATTAATATGGCTGGTGCTGGGTCAAATAAAACAGGCTGGGAGGAGCCATCACCTCCTGCCCAGCGACGCAACATACCAAATTATGATGATGGCACTTCACTGTGGGGGAACCCTGCACAACAACAGGGCAGGATGGGAGGTATGTGCAGCCTCACACAAGATGTGCATGTGGCATGTGATGTGGGAAGCATAAGACATGAAAGGAAACGTAAAAGCTTGTGACAGATGTGAACCAGGATGTAGTATAAAATGAAAGTGAGTAATTTTCTTTATACATGAATGTGGAAAAGTGTTTGCTGAGAAGAATTGTTGACCTAAGAGGAAGTGATTGGAGAATGGAGGGAAGTATATAATTAACTCAAAATGTGTTCCTTGCAAGACATCGTTAGGGTGTTTAGATCAAAGAGAACTTTGTGCATGACGTGTAGTGCACACAGGAGAAACGATAGATGCATACATAATATTGGCTTGTGTACCTCATAAGAAGTGGTCACTTGGAAGGCCTAGACATAGATGAAAGGGTGTTATTGAAAAGGAGCTGAGAGAAGGAGNTTAGGAGGGTGTATACCGGATCCATATGGCATGAGATAGGGACCTGTGTGGGCTGATGTGAAATTAGTAGCTTAATGGCTGTTTGGGTCTCAAGAAGGACTCGTCTCCATGGAGTCAGCAGGTTACAGAGGACTGTTTACACAATGAAACCACGTTATTTCAAAGTTTTCAGGACTAAATAACCTAAGATTTGAAATTACTTGATTTTTTTTATTAAGGAAGAACCTGATAGCTATTAGTTGAAGTCTTATTAACTAGTTCACAAAACATTAAAAATTATATACTCTAAACTGGGGAATTCCATTTAGTTTGAATTAGTGAGTGTTCTGTATTAACCAGTATCAAATTAACAAAGTTTTATTGTAATAATGAAATGATTGGGCTGATTCGGAGAGGATTGTGTACAAGTTTCATAAGAGTAACATTAAGTTCTATGACACAGGCAAAGTGTCCCACTGGAAAGAAATGCCGACGCCCAGTATGGGACGTGGTGGCATGCAGTGTCCTCCAGGAATGCCACAGAACAGGATGCCAAACAATGGTTCGGGCAATATGAAGCCTGATGGAGGTCCACTGTGGGGGCATGCTCCAAGGTAATGAATATGATGTAATCTTGGGGGATCAAGGTATATGTGGGCTGATAATTTCAACCAGTTCTGTATTGGGCAATAATCAGTTGCTATTTTGAGAATCATATGAAACACACATTGGTATGGATATTCGTGACATGGTGTGAGGTAGACTTGGTTCACCTGGCTTAGGATAGGATTCAGAGGCAATGAGATGCATTAACCTGTATCATCCTAATTAGATGATTTAAATGTGGCACTACTGGGGTGTTAAAAGGATAACAGTTCATGAGTGTAAAGGGAATTTAGAATCTACTACATATCTGGTTGCAATATTTTGAACTCGGACCTAACCGTGTTGGCATTGAAAAAGTGCAGCTTTCTTCAGACAGCTGCACTGCGTAATTCACCAGCCCCAGAAAGGCTCACAAATCTGACGAGGTTAATGTAGAGTAAGAATGTAATGTTGCACACTTCCTGCATCAGGGACTGGTGTGATACAATTAAAACTGTTTCCAAAATGTTGCAGTTAATGTGCAGTTGTTGTTATTGGAGAGGGTGGGTTTCCCCATGCACTTAGACCTGTATTGGTCCATTGTGCGTCTCCCTATGATATTCTACCAGTCTCTATACCATACCGGTACTGGTGCGTGCCACCGAGTTCGGCCTCTAGTGGCTCAGCAGTATCTTGATGCTTCCCCCCTCTACCAGAGGCGTTAGAGACTATTGTTGGGCGGGAAATGTCCTGAATTTGGCTCAGAGGTCCCCTTGAGACATGAGGTTCTTTTACGTGCCGTAAAGCTACGACACGGGACCCACGGCTTAAAGTCCCTCCCGGAGGACTTGTTCCCTGAATTTTTCTGCCTTAAAAATTCCACGACCTCTGCCGGGTTTGAACCCGCGTACCTTGAGTCACGAGGTGGGAACGTTACCCCTAGACTACGGAGGCCGCTTAATGTGCAGTTAGTTCTGCTTCTTATTGTTTGGGAGGCCCCAAGATGAAATGTGGGCTCAGAGAGTGGGTATGCTAACAGAGGTGCTTCATGGTTTTACTTCACTTCTTGCACAGACCCTGGGGTGGTGTATAACATGATGCTAAACTGCTTCCTTCCATATTCTTGCAAATTCATTATTCATTAATTGTTCTGTCCTTTGATACTGTATAATCTGAGCTGCCTTGGCATCATTAAATAAACTGTAAGTAAACATATACAAGAGGAGAGATTGTAATAAAACAATAGGTTGTGGGAAGAACTGATCACATATTTTCCTTTCACTGCATATTTTATATTTAATACGACATGGACCACCTTGTCTGCCCTAAAGACGGAGTATATTTTTCCATCATGTTGGTAGCCACCTACTAGGCTATACAGACTGCACAGTTTCCTAACACCATCTTCATCAACATAGACACCCCAGATCTTAATATTGGTCTTTTTTTTTTTTTGGTGTTTACTTATGTTAATGTGTAAATTCCCAGGAATGGGTCCTGGGCTGATGGGCCCCACGAAGCAGTAAATTCTGGTTGGGGCGATGATGCAAAGACTGGTGTAGGAGCTGTAAACTCTTGGAATGAACAGCCTCTCACTCCCACCTCTTGGGCAGGATCGAAGCCAAAGAACTCTCTGAACCCGGGCTGGGTGGATGGAGACCTTGAGGCCTCATCATGGGGGCACACACCTAAACAGGTGAGTATCTCACCTGTGTATGTCACATTCTTTCAGAACAGTATGAGCTGAAGCTCTCTGATAACTGACAATTGTATCTCCTTTCTTTTATAGGGTCCAAAGCCTGTAACAAAAGAATTTGTTTGGGGCAGCAAGCAGTTCCGAATCCTTGCAGAAATGGGTTACAAGGTGTGTGCATATATATATATGTTTGTGTGTTACGGCATAGGTTTTTTCTTCTTGTCTTGTGGCTGGCTTTTATTTTCTTTGGTGTTTGGTATATTTTAATAATTGCATTACTTTTTGTACACCTTATTGAATGTATCCCAGGCACACTTTGCAAGAGCATAGATTCCTGCCTGTGCTTAATTTCATTTTGTTAACAATCATTCACCAAAGCATAAGTGTTTTGTACTCATATTGTACTCATATTGCAGGGGCAGCACCCAATTCCAATTTCTTCCATACACTAAATTTGAGTTCTGGTACATGTTTTCCTCTTTGCCCTTCTAACATTTATAGTTCACTTTTTGGTGTACATTATGGTTCATCATCATAGGGACGTGGCAGTATAAAAATACTTCCCCTACAGTGTTTCCTACTGTGACAAACCAGCCCTGCTTTACCACTAGCTACTCAGCTGGATAACATTTGCCTGTAGATGAGGTTTAAAAGCTTGTATTTTGTGCCATATGTATATGCAATGTCAAGGCTAAAACTTCTCCCTTGGTGATCTTTTCTCTTCCCCCCTCCTCAGAGTTGTAGAATATGATTGACAAGTGTGAGGTGTCTTGATAATGTTAATTCTAATATTTAGAATCTAGGTAACATGATTTTAGTGATGTCTTGTACAGTTCTGAGTTCATTTCACATCTTGGTGACCCCGTTTGGTTTCATCTTCACTTTTTGAACTGTGTGTTTTATAATACTGCACGGTATGATCCTGAAAAGAGTAGCTGTAAGTTTTAGTTTGCTGCTGATGAAGTACAGTTTTTGTTTCATTTTATTATGATCATGGTATCAAATAAGACTTATTTTGTGATTGATATCATTGTCTTTTTCATTTTTGAGTTTGTATTTATATGATTATTTAGTGAATGGTCTGAATGAGTGTTTTACATCATAAGTTCCTAATGAAACTGAACTTCAGTTTTTATTCGTGCTAACTCTGTCTGTATCTGTAGTGAAGTTAGTCTGGATGAAAATACCTGTTCAGCTACTTCGCTGTTTAAGCTGTTTGTCTTGGTTCATGTTGGCTGTATTTGATCTCGGCATTGGTCTCTTTCAATTGAAAAGCCGGTATTTGTTTTGTTTGTTTCATCTCCAGAAAGAGGACGTTGAGAGCGCGTTGCGTACTAGCAACATGAACTTAGAGGATGCTATAGAACTCTTGAACCAGGGGCGGCTCAATGTGGAGACGTGGCGTAGGCACGAAGATCACTCGCCATTTGATTTACCCTCAAGTCACCCTGGTGCAGGATTCCCTGGACAGAGATTCAACCCAGTTCCTCAGCAGATGTCATTTGCCCCACCTGTACGTTATTTTATTTTTAAATCAGTAATATATCCCGTGTAGCTTATGATTTTGTTGGCATGCTTACAGAGCTGAGCAGAGGCTGACATTGTTCTAGATCTTTGCACTGGGTTCTGTGGTGTATAAATACAGGACTTCCATAAGTCATCCCTACATTTATTAAAGAAGTTATCTTGGTGATGAATATTACGCTTGCAGTCTTATTGAATGGCAGAGTTAATCAGTTACATTTGGCATGAAAAGATGGGTCATATAGCATGAACCCAGTTCCTTATATTAGGAGACTAGAATAAAAGTGATCATTTCATTGTATTTTATGTGTTTGTGTAATTAACCATTCTAGATGGGAGGAGCTTGATGAAGTTTGCATGTCAGAATCTTGGATTTTAATAACCATTAGATTTTACACACTGTTAATTTATATGAATGCCATAATTGGATCAAGCCGTGTTTCAGGCAGATGTGAACATTCTTTCATTCATTCATTCATTCATTCATTATTGGAGGGGTTGGGTTTCCCCATGCACCGCGACCAGTTGTTGATCTACTGTATGTCCCCCTTTGATATTCTACCAGTTGCCATACCCTTCCTGTACTGGTACTTGCTATCAGCCCTGTTCAGCCAGCGAGTTCGGCCCCTCTACTGGCAGTGGTACCCGATACTTCCCAATCTACCGGAGGCATTGGCAACTACTTGGGCGGGAAACTTTTTACCTAATTTTGCTCAGAGGCCTCCTAGAGACATGAGGTTCTTTTACGTGCCGTAAATCTACGACAAGGAACCCACAACTTGAAGTCCCTCCCGGAGGACTTGTTCCCTGAATTTTTCCGCCCTTAAAAATTCCATGACCTCCGCCGGTTTTGAGATGTGAACATTAATGCAATGTGAGATATAATTTCTTCATGCAAACTGAATATTGTGGTTAGATGGATAATGCTGGTTTGTGGTTTTGTTTACTCCCCCACGGTAAATTATGGGATAGTACCCCGAATTAGGCCATAGCCAGTTCCTTCCACATCCTTTTCAGTTAAATATTCATAACGTCCATCAGTGTGACTATATATGGTGTGAGTTGCTAACGATGTTGCAAAAGAATGATGATTAAATAATGACAGTAGTTCATTAATTTTCTGATTGTCTCATTAGTTCTCCAAAGTTATATTAAGATGGCAGGAGTACCAAACAAAACCTGTAAAGCAGACCATCTTGTGATGGATTGTTACAGGGAGGAAATGACTTAGGTACACATCAGTGGCTCCATGTAACACTGGGTGTGTGTAACCAGTGTCATGGTTGAGTAGGTGATACTTCTGCTTCATAGTTGGGTATCCTGTGTTCATATCTCAGCCTGCAGACTAGCTGTCCTGACAGGTTAACAGTGTTTTCCTCAGCCCATCCTGACAAATTCTGGGACAATACCTCAAATTTGATCACCCTTTCAAGTTCATTGTTTGCTCATTATCCTCTTATTCAGTGCCATGTTACCTGAGCTGTGGTTAGATAAGAGCTAGTTGGATGTTGCAGTTTGGTATGGTGGCAGGAGAATTTAGTATTGTGTTACCATCCTGTGTGTATGTCCTTGCACTGGGTGAGTATGAGCAGAGCAAGATGATGACGTTTTGAGATGTTACATAACAATTCAACGTAAGAATGTTGTTAGTATAGAGGTAAGGTGCCTTTTATATAGTAAAGGCTTAAGTTACAAATGAAACTTTGTGAGGAAGACTTGAGTTTTAATGGTGAAAACTTGGTGATTAAAATTCTGAAGAATATTTCAGTAACCAGATAGTAATTGTATTGAAGGACTGGGGATTTTAGGAGTATTTTGAGGTATGTTTTAAGGAGTACATGAATGTTCTGTTGTAGAATATTGTATTCAGTTTAATTTTTATAGGATGAATGTCCGTTATATTAACACTCAAGTCACTTGGCAAGCGGTAGAATGTGACGTATATCGACATGTTTTGAAGAGCCCTAATGGCACCCTGGCCTAGCCCAAACAGAGCATGGAATTTATTCTTCAAGGTTGCTACAGCCCCAGTGGGCCTAGGCCTACCTCCATGAACTCCATTCACTTCAGTTTTTTCTCGATCTTACACATTCGGTAGGACTCCTTGGGCGAGTGATCAGCTCGTTGCAAGGCCTCTACCTGTAGACAAACACAGAAAAACGCACACAAACATCCATGCCCTGAGTGGGATCCCGGCTTCCAAGGAAGTGAAGACAGTACATGGCTTAGACCGCACGGCTACCGTGACTGGCAGGTTGCAACATTATCTCTGTATAATCAGTCCGTGCATCAAATTTATTTTCCTGTTCATACAGCTGTTCTAATCACATGCGGCAGTTTGCTCACACTCTGAACCCACACGACAGATACGGAGTCCTTCACGGTCTCTTTTCAGCATCTGTAAGAGGAGGATTGCTGTTGAAACCTGATAAATTTATGTCAGGGGAAATGAAAACTGTTTATGGTTAGATTATGTCACAGTTATCAGTGGCGCATTGTTACCACCCGTGTGTAATTTTCTTTGTTCATGTGCATATGAAGCAGTTTTACAAATGGAAGAAAAAGTGAGAAGAAGACAATGTTGCTACTGAATATTATAGTGGGGGATCTGGTTCTGCATTATTCTGTCTGTTTCCACGCTAAAATGCATTCAGTAGACCAGCGATCTGCAATCAGTAAGGCAGTACATTTAAAGTGTGGGCATCTATTAATCAGTTCCGAGTGTGTGCAATAAGATTCTGAAGAGTTGTACACTGACATCAACTTGGAAGAAGAGCTCAAAGGTACCACATATCCGGATCCTTCATCTCCTGAAGAAAATGATGGAAGATTTAGAGTGGTGTCACCAGCTTCCCTCTGATGGGGCAGTTGGGCACCAGTTTGTAGGAGAACAAAATGGGCGGAACAAGCCACTGCTCGCAGTGTTGCTGAAATTTCGCAACCTCGTTATTTCTTCTTGCAGTATTTTCAGACCAACATATATATATATATATATGCAGAGGCATGCATAAGAAAGAAATAAACTAGATATTACATATTCTCAGCAAGTAAGTATAAAGGATCTAAACGCCTTTTTTCACAATTACATTTCCAGTTCCATTGGGTCACAGCGACAAGCCCAGTGTGAAGCTGAGCTGGACCAAACATGAAATCTGCCATTTCCTTCTACTCCAGTATGTTGCCATGTGATCATTTTCTCACAGTTCTATTACTGTCATGTAACTTGAGAAAGTGATAAGGTGTCATTAAATGACAGTAAATAACAATGTTCTCTGTATATGCAACGGAAAGTCGGTAATTTGGTCGCGGACGGAAGGAAACCAACTGCAATGGTCATAATAGGTTTTCCGTGTGTATAACTATAGTCCATTCGCGGAGATGAGACAGTTGGCGTAAACAAAGCAAGCCCCGAGTCGCCACAGCTGACAGCAAGGAGTGGACAAAGCGCGCAGTTACTCAGTGTACTCACTGCATTCGGACGCACGTTAACCTGCATTCAGACTGAAGAGTGAACTTTGGGCACCCCTGCAACGAAACACGCATCACGTGATCGCTGCATGTTTTCATTCAAAGAGCCAAGGAGATACCGCGTGCATTTGTTTACGAGTACTCTCTCGACTCCGCGAATGGACTGTAGGTAACAGCACAGCTCAGCTTCTTGACAGTCTAGGTAGCAGATGTGCACACTCATAGGCTGGTTTCAGTAGTGAAAATGGGTACTGCCCTTGAGGAGTGTAGTAACGAATAGCAGTTCTCTGTTGTGCGTTTTTTGTTGGTAGGACTAAATGGCAAGGATATTCATAAAGAAATGTTTCCTATTTGCCGTGGGATGTGTTTTTCGCATAAAGAGGTTCACAACTATATGACAAACGTTTTACTTATGACGAAAAGTTTGAAATAGAGGTGCGGAAGTGGCTGAGACAGCAGTCAAAATATTTCTGTTCTGCGGTTTTTGATGCACTAGTAAGTCCGCGGAACAGGTTTATCAGTGCGGGTGGAGCATATGTCGAGAAATAAACGTTTTTCCTCCTCAGGTTCGAATATCACATATTTTACATTTTATGTCCATTTGCAGCCTATTTACTGACTGTTTTGTGTCTCAGGTTTATTGATTATGAATATGGGTTACCATTATGTTGAGCTACATTGAAAGCTGTTTGTCTTTAGGGTCCTGGAGTGAACAATGCTCCTAGTCTCCTTAACAACCAAAGTGCTAGTCTGGCCAGTATTAACAACATCAGTCCTGCCATTGTGCAGAAGATTATTGCTCAGCAGCCCCCTCCACAGCAACCGCCCACACAGCAGCAGAATGCATTTAACCAGGCACCTCGCCCACCACAGAACCAGCCTTCAACTGCCCAGCTTAGAATGTTAGTGCAACAGATACAGATGGCTGTGCAGGCTGGATATCTCAATCATCAGGTAAGAGAGAGAGAGAGAATGTTCATGTGTGAAGTATCTTGTATGGAAGTTGTCAGATAACTTGCTGGACTTCATCCCGGATCTCCTCAAAAGAAGCGTCTCATAAACATGTGCAGGCTTGGTTCTAACAGCGTAGTCATCAACCAAAAGTGAAAATGTTATAGAAGTAGGAAGTTCTGTGTCCTAGGATATAATGGTGTGTGGTCTGATGGAAGTCAGCTGACATTTCAGAGGAAGGTGTCACCTCTATCTTCAGGGTGAAAGAATAAGCTGAGCAGGAAAGTGGAGCAAAGGCAGCTCTGAAGAAAGCAGTCTTCTGGGATTTGGCATCGTGTATATGTGGTGTTAACCGACATTTCGGAGGAACGTATCGCCTCCATCTTCAGGGTAGAAGAAAAAATATAAGAATTCTGCAAGCGGAGAGACTGTGAGAACCGGTAAAAGCAGACTGTGTGTATTTCCACACAGTCTGCTTTTACCGGTTCTCACGGTCTCTCCGACACACAGTCTGCTCTTACCGGTTCTCACGGTCTCTCCGACACACAGTCTGCTTTTACCGGTTCTCACGGTCTCTCCGCTTGCAGAATTCTTATATTTTTTCTTCTACCCTGAAGATGGAGGCGATACGTTCCTCCGAAACGTCGGTTAACACCACATATACACGGTGCCAAATCCCAGAAGACTGCTTTCTTCATAGTCACCGCCGTGAAAGCCTCAAATCTTACAAAGGCAGCTCTGCTTGCTGCCTGCCTTGACGCATATTCCTCTGAAGTGTCAGTTGACCTTCAACAAGTTACACAGTGTTATATCCCAGAATATGGAATTCTTCATAACCACTGCTGTAAGAGCCTCAATTCCTACATTAGGGAAGTACAGTAAACCCTCACAAATCCAGATTAATTGAGGGAGAAGTCATCTGGATTAAGCAATAATCCACATTAATGAATTAAAGACAAACCTTAGAACATAACTAAATGGAAAATGTAATGATATTAGTACTGCTAATCAAAATAAGTAAAAAAATCACTGTAGAGTCTTTATTGAAAAACTGTTGAAAGACAATACATTTATTCATCGATAGAAGATTCAAAAGTTGTACTTGTTTTTTAATGTAGTAATGCAGTTTTGAAGAAATTCTGAAGTTTTTTTCTGAACAGACAACTGACTCATTTGCCTATCTAATGCCATGTGTACCCAACTGTGAGCAGCATTGTTCATATTTTGATCCCGATTAGCAAGGGTTTACTACACATTGGTTTTTATTATGCACCTTCTCCCATTTTTTAGATGTGTTTACAACCCTGCAAAGTGATGTTTTTATTATCATTTAAAATCTGTTTTGGTGTATTTCAATGGGAACACATGATATCAGTTGTTGCAAATCATCAGACATATTGAATTATTAAGAAATGGGGAGTCCATTTCTTCTATCAGTCTTCGTGGATGTTAAATTCTTGCCAGAAATATCAATCCATACAGGCATTGTGTGTCTTGCATAGTATGGAAAATGTTCAGTAGAAACAACTAGAAAGGAAATAAACAGATTCCAGAATTGTAAATTGTTTTCTGTAGATCCTGAACCAACCACTGGCACCTCAGACCCTGATATTGCTGAACCAGCTGCTGCAGCAAATCAAAGTGCTACAGCAGTTGATGCAGCAACAAGCCGTGGTCCAGGTGCAGCCCTTGAAGGGCGGCTCCTCTAATGCGGTACTTCACATCTCAGTGCAGATCACCAAGACAAAGCAGCAGATCTCTAATTTACAGGTAACGGACTGCCTGCGCGTTGTAATTTGTTGAAACCTTCCATTCTTTGTGTCACAGAGCCATGTGTTTAGCGATACTTAGGTGTCACCTTGTTCAGTTTTTAATTCTGTACAGTTTGAAGGGAAATACTGAATGCCCACAAAGCCTGGTCATATTTATGTAGTATAGTATGGTGGTTTAAATTTTGAAACTTTCTTGGCAAACCACTGAAATTGCCTCAGGCAGTCAGCAACTTGATAGATGAATTAGAAACCAGCTTTTTTAAGACAATTTGTGCCTGGAGAATATTAGAAATGACCATCAGGTGTTGTATGTGGGAAGAAGTCTTGTGGAGTGTGTATTAAGTGTGTGCATTCTGTTGGATTTTTATGAAATATGGTATTGGAGAATCTTGTGAAAAATTATCAGTTGCCATTTGGAATGGAAAGGTTTAACAAGGCCTTTACATGAATATGTGCTTGCATGTATCTTTAATTAGTGTACAGGAAAATATTTCTTCTAACAGCTGTTGTGTAGAGACATGAAACACATCTTATATCCAGCTTGCTTTCTGTGTAAATGTTAATGTTTATAATAGTTAAACATAATTAATGTTATGAATGCATTTTTGATATTGCTTGTTTAACAGTTGACCATGGCTGCCTCACAATTGCATTTAAGGAAAGAACTAAAGAAATTTTTTATTGGCTTAAGGTGGCACACTATAAGATTCTTTTAATGCATTGATCTATTACAATGTGACTTCAAAGCGTATCTTAATTTATATATATATGGTGTGACGTGTCGCACTACCTGGACGCACCCCCCCCCCCCCCCCCCCAGCCGGGNGCCGAAGCAAGCCAAGTCCTAACACGCTGGTTGCTATGCAACGCGGGTAAACAGTGGTTGCAAGAGACTACTCCCGATAGCGTTGCTAGCAACATGGCGCCAGACAACAGTGGTGCCTATTATGTGGCTGTTTTCTGTGTTGTCCGGAACGGTGCTAAATAAGGAGCAGCGAAGACTGTGCAAGACTGTTCTCATTCTCAGTATTCAAGTTCTGAGTTCTGAGTTCTCAAGTTCTCAAGCTACGACTTAAGAGTCAGCCAGCATTTGCAATGTAGTATTTGTGATACTGCAGATAGCAGTAATTGTTATCTGTAAATTGTGTGATTGTAAGAGCGAATGTGCAATAAATTTGCTATATCCAATAAGGCGTGAAGTTATTTGTCGCGTTATACACCCAAGACACACGACTATATATATATATATTGTAACGTGTTTCGTTACTGCAGACGCCATAGAGATGGTTAATTGGTTTA